GGGAAGACGGGAGCATCCACTGCGCAGCCGTAGGGAAGACGGGAGCATCTACTGCGCAGCCGTTGGGAAGACGGGAGCATCTACTGCGCAGCCGTAGGGAGGACGGGAGCATCCACTGCGCAGCCGTAGGGAAGACTGGAGCATCTACTGCGCAGCCGTAGGGAGGACGGGCGCATCCCGATTGGCTGGTTATCTCCAAGGGAGTTGGGCAGTGTGCCCGGAAGAGGCGGCGCGACTCCGTGCAGGTCCAGTCGGAACCCGAAGTGGCCGTCTATCCGTAGACGTGGACACTCTGACGCATTATCCGGTCCGAGCCCCGCCCTTTCTGCAATCGGAAGTCCGGAAAAGGGCCGGAAGTCGGGGGGAAGAGCTGTGGGGTGACCACGTCGGGGTCAGAGCAAACGTGAGGGTCAGTGAGACGGAAGTAATCGGATCTTACGTAGCCGTAAAGTGCAGTCGGTCGAACCATCTTCCGGTTAGCGACAACGGCCGGCTCGGATGCCGGTGTTATCCTTCCTGTAGACCGCAGCGCGGACCTTCGGCGATCCACACTTCGCTTCAGCTCTACCCTGTCGGCGCCTCTTCACACCAAGATCATGTTCAAGAAATTTGACGAGAAGGACTGTGTGTCCAACTGCATCCAGCTGAAAACTTCCGTTATTAAGGGTATTAAGAGCCAACTGACTGAGCAGTTCCCAGGTATCGAGCCGTGGCTTAATCAAATCATGCCTAAGAAAGATCCCGTCAAAATAGTGCGATGCCATGAACACATGGAAATCCTTACAGTTAATGGAGAATTACTGTTTTTCAGGCAGAGAAAAGGACCCTTTTATCCAACGCTAAGGTTACTTCACAAATACCCATTTATCCTACCACACCAGCAGGTCGACAAAGGAGCCATCAAATTTGTGCTCAGTGGTGCAAATATCATGTGTCCGGGTTTAACATCTCCTGGAGCAAAGCTCTATGCTGCTGCAGTAGATACCATCGTGGCGGTCATGGCAGAAGGGAAGGAGCACGCCCTGTGTGTCGGAGTCATGAAAATGGCTGCAGCAGACATTGAGAAAGTCAACAAGGGCATCGGCATAGAGAACATCCATTATCTAAATGACGGGCTGTGGCACATGAAGACATATAAGTGAGCCTTAGACGCAATGCACTTGAACTAAATATAAATATTGTGTTGTATCTGTGTGTGTGTCTGTATGTGACATCATGAAGAAAATGCCTCTGTGGTTGTGATGAATAAATTCAACAGATACCTTTAAAAAAATGAAAACGGGGTGTTGTAACCACAAGAAAGAGCAGGAATTGGGAGACAAGTAACAGTTTGCTGCACTTTGGAATCATAGAAGTGGCCACACTCAGTTATTAGGAAATCTGGTAGCATCCAGAGTAGGTCTGACATCAGGGTCTCTACCAAGGTGCTCCCGACAAGAGCAGCCTTCAAGATTCCCTCTTGACTACTTTCTACATCTCTCTTTCTTTCTTCCTCTGCTTGGACAGGGTTACCAGTAATCCCTTTGATTTCCTAAAATTCCAAACTTGGTAGGAGTAACATTAATTGGGAACCCAATGTGTTCCCTTCCGGGCACTGTGCTGAGGGCATTGTAAGAGTAGCCTTGCTTCTCACGACAGCCCCCCTGACAAAGGTGTTTTACTGATGAGGAAACAAACTCTTAAGAGGCCACAGCCTCCTCCAGGATCACCCAGCTTTAGGTGGCAGAGCTTATATCCCCAATACCCTGTGTTTTATATGGGCCTATGTTTCCCTCTTCTAGAAAATTAAGAGGGGTTGGACATGGCCCCAGTGAGCTTTCCCCAGCCTAATACTTTTGCCAGTCTGAGGCAGCCAAGGCCAAGTCCATGAGCCTGTCCGACCGTGCCAGCAGTTATGCCCGCCTTCAACCAGGGGCTGACAGGTTTGGGGGGGGAGGCGGGATAGCCTCACCTGGGGAAGTGGACTTACCTGGCCTCTCTGCCCAGAGATCATCAACTATGAGTTTGACACTAAGGACCTGGTGTGCCTGGGCCTAAGCAGCGTCGTTGGTGTCTGGTACCTGCTGAGGAAGGTAAGTGGTCAGAGCCTGAGCAGGTGGGCGGCTGGGGAGACAGGGCAGGATGGAGCACAGGGAGCTAGTCTCACTCCAACCTTTCCCCAGCACTGGATTGCCAACAACCTCTTTGGCCTGGCCTTCTCCCTTAATGGGGTAGAGCTTCTGCACCTGAACAACGTGAGCACTGGCTGCATCCTGCTTGGCGGACTCTTCATCTATGACATCTTCTGGGTGAGTCAGGCAGGGATGTGCTGTCCAGCTCTGAGGGCCCTTCTCCGCCTCCCGGCTTCCCTGCATCTTTGCCATCTCAGTCCAAGTGGCAGTCTGATAAAATTTGTACCCCAGAGCAGGTCTATTTCTGGTCCCTTTGTAAATCTGGAGGAAAAGGGTGGCATCTCCTACCAAGAGCCAGTGTACCCAGTGCCCTCATACACCCTCTGTGGTCTTGACAGGGGTACCACTAAATCCTGTGTCTCTAGAGCAAATGAGTTGAGATGCGGGGCCGTTTGAATAGGAGTGGTGGATGCTGGGGAATGACCCAGCAAGGAGGACAGAGGTTAGCTGTGTTCTGGCTGAGTATTCCCTTTCTGAGGCACGGCTAAGGGGTCTGGGAGCTGCCTAGGGTCTTTGTCTCGTAAGAGGGAGAGGAGCCTGAACAAGCAGGCTGCCCGGCTTGGGCCATTTGAGGGTCTTTCTCCGACTCCTTCAGATTTTCTTTTGCCCAGAACCACATGAATGTCAGGTGTGCTCTGGGCTCTTCCGGTTCCCTGTTGGACTCTCATGCACCTCAACACCACATCTAGAAGCCTAGGGACAGCCTTTCGTGCCCACCCACCTCCCTTTAGACTCCTGTCTTCTCCTTCCAGGTATTCGGCACCAACGTGATGGTGACTGTGGCCAAGTCCTTTGAGGCACCAATCAAATGTAAGTAAGTGACCACCTCCCACCATTGGGCATCTTCCTTTCCCCCAGTTGGCTCATCATCCATGTTGGTGTCAGAACCTCCCTCTCTTTCCTCTTCATTGATTCATCTGACTGTGTTCTTGTTCTCAGTCCCCCCACCCCACCCCCAGACCCTTGGCCACTTGGTCATGACGCCGTGTGGCATGAAATGTATAGGAATGGGGGTAAGCATAGAGGAGAGGTGCTTAACGGCCTATTGTAGGGCCCACAGTGGTTTTCCAGAAGTCGAGACCGTCACACTAACTGTATCACACTCCCTGGGTTCCCCCTTTTTACCTGAATACCAGGTGTTCTCTTGTCTACTGACACTCACCATACCTTGGTTTTGTTTTTTAGAATAACCGTTGTCTATACAAGTATTAGAAAACCCAACTATAGAGGTTAGGACTGTAGTAGCTCAGTGGTAGAATGCTTGTCTAGCATGTGTGAACCCTGGGGTTCCATCCCTGCACCTCTGAAAGAAAAAAGATCCATAACACAGGCATGGGGCACATTCCTATAAAGTGCTTTCCTACCATGCATGAGGACTTGGGTCCTTTGGCTTGACCATGGTACCACACGAGCGCTAATCCTGGTACTTGAGAGGATTGAAAATTCAAAACCAGCCTGGGCTACATAGCTAGATCATCTCAAAAACAGTCAAAGCAAACAACTAACCATCCCAAGGTAGATGGGAAAGGAGATTAACTTAGAGTCTCAACTGTGGATGATCCCGAGTCACCTGGGACCATAAGGCTGTACCAGGCATGGTAGCTGGGAAGGAGGAGAGGTGGCCTTGAGAGGATGGAATGCGACCCAGTGATTGGTAGCGCCCTGGTGATGCTGGCTTGTGGCAGCAAGCAGTTGGGGTGAAGTCAGCTTGGGGCTTCTTTCTCATGGGTCCTATAGCAACATAGAAGGAAAAATGAAGAGGAAACCTTTGGTTAGATGGTCCTAGATCCCTCCTTGCCGTAAAAGCTGCCATTTCATCCTGAGAACACCCTGTCATCTCCTGTACACTCTGAATACAAATGTGTGAGAGTCAGGCTTGGCAGGGCTGGAGCTGAGAAAGGCTGGCAGCCTGAGAAAGCGGCTCCCTCTGATGGTTCTGTCTCCTCCCGTCTCCTCCCTGCAGTGGTGTTCCCCCAGGATCTGCTGGAGAAGGGCCTTGAAGCGGACAACTTCGCCATGCTGGGACTTGGAGATATCGTCATTCCAGGTGATTGCTGGGGAGAGGGCTGTGGTGGGGGGTGCCAAGGGCTTTACTAGGAGGCGGATAGGTAGCCTTACCTGTTGGGAATAGGGAAGATCAGGTGAGGACTTGGCAGATCCCCCTCTGTACGTGTTTGTGCCTTGGGTGGCACAGGGCAGCTCTCTTTCTCTTTTAATTTTGGACTTTAACCAAGAAAGTGGAGCTGAGCCCTCAGCTTCAGGTAAACGTGTTCAGAACGGCCTTGAGTGTATCTCCTAGCCGACCTGGACTTCTAGGCCAGAGGAGCCCTGCCAGTGGGGAGAAAAGGCCTGCCTGGCCTTTCTCTCACTTCAGGAGGCTGACGAAGCTCCAGGTTTGCATCTTTATCTATCTATGGCTCCTCTCCCTGTCGCCTGTCAGGGATCTGTCTAGCTCCTAGTTCCTTTAAAGGACTGAGAGAGATTCCTTCCCATCGTCCTCAGCAGTGGGGCCGTCTGACTGTGGGAAAGGTCTCCTGCAGAGGATGGGTCTGTGGCTCAGTAGCAGAGTGAAGCTTAGCATGCAGGGACGCTGGGTTCATCCCCAGGACCGCGCGCGCGCGCGCGCGCGCCGATACCGTCAGAGCAGGCCGTAGGACAGTAACAGCAGGAGAACGGTGGTGACAGCACCTGCCACTCCCTCCCCGGGCACTGTGGTGGGTGCTGTGCTGGGTCATTTTGCTGTTCCCAGCAAGTCCAGGGAATAGAGGGAATTTCTGTGATCCAGGTTGAAGAAGCAGGTCTACTTGTCTGAGAGATTGGGCTTGACATACCCCACCCCAGGTAACACAGGAGAGATTTGAGTCCTTCGGTAAAAATGATGACATGTGCCTATGACCCCAGACACAGAGACAGGAGGATCATGAATTCAAGGATAGCCTGGTTAAGTGGTCAACGTGTCTCAAAACAAAATTGAATTCCAATCCCCTGGCAATGGGCAGAGACACTGCATTGGTGATGGTGGTCAGGGACAGAGTAGATTGTGGTCCTGCGTTCATCCTAGGTGGGATGCCTGGCTTGGTGGCCAGAGCGGTCTTTAAAGAAAATAATAGAATCCCACCCCCAAGACAAATGCCTTACAGCAGTGGCCTCAACCTTCCAAACGCTGCGACCCTTGAACGCAGCTCCTCATGTTGTAGTGATCCCCGACCATAAAATTATTTTCGTTGCTACTTCATAACTGTAATTTTGCTACTGCTATGGATCACAATGTGAATATGAGTCTTTTGACTCCAAAGGGCTTGCATTGCCGCCCATGGGCTGAGAACTGCTGTCTTACAGAGACCCAGTGTCTAGCTTCGCCAGTCTCCTCAGTGCATGGTTCTGGGCTTTAGGAGTGGACACATCCTCTCCTTAATAGTTCCTTCAGGATCCGTATGTGGCTCCAAATCTTCCAGCAGTCACCCAGCCCAGAAAGCAGCCTGTCGACCCCCAGGCTGTTAGTATACCAGCACAGCCCCTGCCCCTGCTTTAGTTGAGGAGCTGTTACAAGTATCAGTCACCAGGGGGCGCTGAGCTCCAAACACTGTAGGAAAGGCCGCTCTGGTCAGCTTTTTCCATCCAACTCGCCTCTCACAGTCCTCGCCGAGAATGACTCGGCTCCCTCTTTAAAATGAACAACAAAGGGTGGGGAGTGTAACTCAGTGGTAGAGCCCGTGCCCAGCCTGCACAGGGTTCCAAACACAACACTGCAAAAATACCTATTCATCGTGCTGGATAGGCTTCTGATGGCCACCATACTTCAGTTCTTTTTTTTTTTTTTTTATGGTTTTTCAAGACAGGGTTTCTCTGTGTAGCTTTGCGCCTTTCCTGGAACTCACTTGGTAGCCCAGGCTGGCCTCGAACTCACAGAGATCCGCCTGCCTCTGCCTCCCGAGTGCTGGGATTAAAGGCGTGCGCCACCACCGCCCGGCTGTGCTTCAGTTCTTGAGAGGCTGTCCTTAGCTAAATGAGACTTAGTCTCTGTCCTGTGTGAGCCCGAAGGCCAGTGAGGAGGGAAGATCTGTAAAGGGTGTGGTGTGTGCGGCATGCAGAGGTTGGACTGGCTGGCTCTGTCTGAGACTGGGGATCCTGGGGTATCTGGACTTGGTTTTGAAGTGTAGGCCAGGTGCTAAGGGACAGAGTTAGCACTCCTGGGCTCCTGTGGGACCTCCCAATGGTCTGCTTCTTGCTCCAGCCAGGCAGCAGCCACAGGGGTCTCTCTAGACCTGTTTAGGCTCTCCTGCCCAGAACTCTTCAGCGGGCTATGTTCCTTACTCGGAATATAGACCCGAGCCTGCTTGCTGTATGACGGTCTGTGCTGGGTGTCTCCCTCCTGCAGCTCAGAACATGCCTTCCACTCTCCCCTGGCCAGTGTCACTTTGAAGAAGCCCTCTTCAGACTAGATCCCAGCCAGTCCACCTTTTCTGACACAGAAGTCTGTTTTCAGTAGAGCAGGCCTAGATTGATTCCCCGTTGCAGTCTGTCAGAGCTGATGTCACTCTCCCTCCCGTCTTGGCCCTCGGCCGAGCTCTGGGAACTCTGGCTTCCCTTGATCCTAGGCTGAGCCTGGTCAGAGGGGAACAGACAGTGTCTGTTGTGACAGAGTGGCGCTGTGGTGGGGACCAGGCCAGGCTCCTTCACTTGGCTGCCCCTCTTCTCCCCAGCCCTGGCTTGCTAACCCTGCCTTTTCCCTTTCAGGGATTTTCATTGCCTTGCTGCTTCGTTTTGACATCAGGTAAGCAAGGGGGGCCGGGCCTGGCCTGGCCTGGGGTTCTCCCAGCATTCTCCAGCTATCAGGAGCCCAGAGCAGGTACCTCCACCCACACATCCAGAGAAATTCTCATTTCACCTGCATTCTGAAGATTTGAGTGTTTGGGGTTTTTGTTGTTGTTGTTTGTTTTTGTCCTTTTAAAGTCCTTTTAGTTGAGATTGGTGCTTGTAGCCCTGAGCCCTTGGTGGATAGTCTCACCTCAGGAGCCTCCACCTCACGTCCACGGTGGGGAGCACGAGTTCCCACTGAGTCTGCTGTGCCGGTCTGTGGAGAGTGCTGAGCACAGGCTGACCTCAGTGGCTTTGGGGAAAGCGAGCTGCAGGCATCGTTTGCCAGGCCGCACTCGAGTCACTGGTCAGTCTAGCTGGTCCCTGTGCTCTCCCTCCTCGGGCTTTGACGGCTGTGGTAGAAACTAAACATAAGGCTGGACTGGAGCCGAGAGGACACTTGCCAGGCATGCACGGGGCCGGGCTCAGTCCCCAGAGGGCCTTGCCCCAGTCTTACATTCTGTGGGGAAAACCTAGAACCCGAAATGCTTTTTCTCCCAAGAGATTATTATGGCTAATAGTCTTACAGGCCGTTTTTAGATTATAATATTTGTTATTTACAAATAGGCTTATGGCGTTCCCATTTTGCAAAGATATAAACTGAATATGAAAAAGTAATGGTAACTTTACTACAGAGACTTAACTCAGGCAAGTACAGGGTGCATGGCCCTCCAGGCCCCCAGCTGAGAGCGCTCTCCCACGCACATCAACTGCAGAGAGTTCCCTAGAAAGGATGTTCCTACTCTAACCCTTCTTTCTGCCTTCCTTAAAGCTTGAAGAAGAACACCCACACCTACTTCTATACCAGCTTCGCGGCCTACATCTTCGGCCTGGGCCTCACCATCTTCATCATGCACATCTTCAAGCATGCCCAGGTGAGCAGAACAGCCTTGGTGTGTCCAGAGTGCGTCCCTGACAGTAAGAGAACTCAGAGAGCTGCTCTGTCACCTGCACAAGCAGCCCTGAGGTGGGCACCCTGCGGTGGGAGCAGAACAAGGTGTTTGGTTGTTTTTGACTTGTGGGAATGTGGCCGCGGTTGCTCCAGGCAAATGGCTTTTTCAGCACACCACTGTCTCCACTAGAAAAGCAGACATTTTGCCAGAGTTCTCTACCTGATTTCCGCCTGCAGCCCATAAGCCAGGTAGTACTCACGTGGCCATTCCAGCTGCAGGAGGAGGCTGGGGAAGAGAGGATGGCTTCCCAGGCAAGCTAGCATGGACGAACAGAGAGCAGGATTGGGGAGAGTCAGGTGTTTCGGCCAAGTGAAAGCTAGCTACACCCACCCCAGGAAAGCCAAGGCTCCGCCTCCTCCCACCAAGGTGGGCTCTACCACAGTGAGCTGTGCCAGGCTTTTTCTTTTAGGCCACCAACCAGCTCCCAAGTCATGACAGAGACTTGCTCTTGGTTTCGAATGCTCAGCTAGCTTAGGCGCGTTTCTGGCTAGCTCTTTTAGTTTAAATTACCGTTTCTCTTTACCTACCTTTTGCCTTGGGCTTTTTCCCTTTCTTCTGTATAACTTACTCTCGCTGCTTCTCTGTGGCTGGCGGGCTTCCTGCTCTGGGCGTGTCCCTCACGCTCTCCTTCTCTCCTTTTGAGCCTAGATTCCTCCCATTTATTCTCTGCCTGCCAGCCCCACCTATCCTTTCTCCTGCCTAGCTATTGGCCATTCAGCTTTTTATTAGGCCCATCAGGTGCCTTAGGCAGGCAAGGTGAAACAAATGCAGCGCATCTTCACATAATTAAACACACACCCTTACATCGTTAAAGCAGTGCAACGTGAGCAGATGTAACACACCTTTGCACAGTTAAAGCAATATGCTGCAGCAGTGAACGGCCTGTGTGAAGGTTGGGGTCTCAGGGGCCTGGAGAGGGGAGGCCGGTAGGGACTGAGCAGCCAGGATGGCCTCTTCTCTTGGCTGAAACACAGTGCACATGCCAAACCCTGTGCCCCTGAGGTCTTAGCACGTGAGGAAGCTGGAGCTGAGGTGCCACCCAGTGAGTGGGTAGTAGAGCTAGGACTTGGCCTGAACATTGTACAAACGAGGCCAGGCTGCAAGGACAGTGTGTGGGGCAGAGGCCAAGGAAGCCCCAGGGGAAGCCAGTGGACTCCTCTCTGGGACTCGGGCCAGGTTCCAAATTTCCTCATTCATTAATAAAAGCAGAAAAAGAGTGGCTTGGGGGATGGGGTAAATCAATGTCATCCCTCAGAGCTCCACTATCTAGATAGTGCATTCCCACACCTCCAGCACAGCGTCGCCTTCTGTGAGTTCGGTTACCCACAGCCCAAACATATTAAATCAGAAACTCTAGTTTTAAATGCCATGCATCCTGAATACCAAGATGAACTCTTACTGCTCACATAAGCCCTTCCTTGATCCAGCCTATCACACTACATACTGCTTACCATTAGACCCCGTGAGCAGTCACTCACCGCCTGCCATACTGTAGTCTTGAGGTGCTCCGAGGATTGGAGGGAGGCTACTGTAGTGTTGCTCCTCACTCCTCCCCTCCCCCAGAGCTCTGTCACATGGGAGCTGCCTTTGAATTCATCACAAGATCAGATTGGTGATCACTGTACCTATGCTAAAGCTTCCACAAAGACCCAAGGGTGTGGCTCATAAGCAGAGAAACCCAGAGTGTTCACAGAGCCTTCGCGTTTGTTCAGTTATGTTTGGCACAGCTTCTGGTGTGCCTGTGGAGCATGGCATGCGCTTGGTGAGAGGATTAGAGTGCCAGATCAAGACATAGCTTAGAGGCCTTTTCAAGGCCTGTACTATACTTCCCAACCCTGCGTTGGAGTAGGCCAGAGCCATTCCCCTGGCAACCACCAGGTGGCAGGCTTGCCTTCCCAGCAGGAACCGGAAGAGGATCTTGCTCTCGTGCAAGGTGGTGTCCTCCCCATTGTGGAGACACTGCAGACCTCGAGAAACAAATCCCAGGTAATCCGGCTAGCCAGGCCTGCCTGGGCCCAGGCTCCTCCTGGTCCTGGTTCATCCAAATGGCCATCTCCCTGAAAGCCCTTGAAGGGGGCATCCAGGACGTAGGAAGAGCCTGTTGAGTGAGGTGGTCTTTTCCAAGACAATGCAGGCAGTCTCCATGTCTGCTTTGTTCTGGGCGGAGGTCCCTCTGCGGCCTTCAGCTCACTTAGCCTTTTCAAAAGCCTTCCCAGCCAGACACAGTGGCCCATGCCTATGATCGCAGTGCTCAGGAGGTGGAAGCAGAAGGGACAGAGGTTCAGAATCAGCCACACAGCTAATTCAGATAAGCCTGAGTCACACATATGAGACGCTGCTGTCTCAGAAAGCCTGGCCCTCAGCTCACTGCCCTGAGCAGTCCAGCTCTCTTTCTCCATCACATTCTCTTTTCTTTTCTTTTTCTTTTTCTTGTTTTATTTTGTTTCGAGACAGGGTTTCTCTATGTAGTTTTGGAGCCTGTCCTGGATCTCGCTCTGTAGACCAGGCTAGCCTCGAACTCACAGAGATCCACCTGGCTCTGCCTCCCAAGTGCTGGGATTAAAGGTGTGCGCCACCACCGCCCAGCTCTCCATCACATTCTCATTGAAGGTTTCCCCAGGTGCCTTGAGAGGAAAGAAAAGGCAGGCTTGTATCCCTCTGGTAATAGCAAACTTGCTCTCTTGAAGGAGCCTTCCCGTGAGCCTGAGGCCACCAGCTCCCCTAGAAGTCCTACATTCTGCCCAAGACTGTCTTGGGCAAGAGAAGGCACTGGACTGTACAGGAGGAGGCTTGCTCCAAATCCCGACCAGGCCTTCTCCATCCTCAGAGCGCCGTTTGCTCATCCTTTTGTTAACCTAGGGTTACTGTGTGGAAGAGTCTTGGGTTTGTATGCGGGGGAGTAATGCCTGCAGAAGCCAGCAAAGGGTGTCAGGTTCTGGAGCTGGAGCTATAGGCAGTCGGGAGCCAACGGAACCAAACGGGTCTTCTCCAAGAGCAGTATGCATTCTTCACCACTGAGCCGTCCCTCCACCCCCCACAAATTAGACTTGAATGTTAAGTTTGGCCTTCTTTTCCTGCCTCTCACGTTGTTTTCGTCCTGTTGTTTTTAGGGGCCTTTGTTGGTTGGCTAGGTTTGTTTGTTTGGTTGTTGTTGTTTGAGGCAGGGTCTCATTTGAGTATCCCTGGCTGGCCTGGAACTCACTGTAGACAGGGTAGCCTATAATTCATAGAGGTCACCTGCCTCTGCCTCCCAAATGCTGGGATTAAAGGTGTGCGCCACCACACCCAGCCTGGTTTTGGGTGTGTGCTTGGTTGGTTGGTTGGTGGTTGGCTTTTGTTTGTTTTGTTTTGAGGCAAGTTCTCCCTGTGTAGCTGGGGCAGCCTCAAACGCCCAGTCATTTTCTTGCCTCTGTCTCCACAGTGCTAGAGTTTGAAGTGTGTGCCCCAGTGCCCGCCTCTGTCTCCTTTGAGGATAGTTTACCTGTCTCTAGCTGCCCCTTTCACCCACCTGCGCCCGTGCTGGGAATCAAACCCTAGCATTGCATGAATGTTACGTGAGCACTCTGCCGCTAGACCCCTGCCCGTTTTTTCTTGTTCTGTGACCTGAAAGCTTTTTTGTTTTGTTTTGTTTTATTTGGAGACAGGATTGCTCTGTGTAACAGCCCTGGCTGTCCTAGAACTCACTTTGTAGACCAGGCTGGCCTGGAACTCACAGAACCCACTGTCTCTGCCTCCCGAGTGCTGGGATTACAGGTGTGCTCCACCATCACCTGGAGACCTGGAGGCTTTTAAACCATTCCATGTGTCTTGTTTCTGGGGCTAGCTTAGGGCTTAGAGTACCGCCAGCTGCTTCTCACAGCTTGGGGCATGGACCTAAAAAACCCACAGCAAGGACCCAAGAAAGAACGAAGGGCCAGCTCCCCAGATCCTAACTCAGCTTGGCCTCACAGACCTTCTATGACCTTGGGCAAATCAGGAACATCATCTTTAGAACTTCGGTCTGAATACTATTATTAGATTCTAGGGTAATCTGTATAAAGTAATGTGGCTCACCACCCACCCAGACCAGTGCCAAGAAATGGTCTCCTGAAGCTCATCCTCAGACGCAGGGGACAGATCCTGTGGTTCTTGGGTCCCAGGCTGGTTTTGTACTGAGAATGATGTCTCTTTAATCTCATCCCATTCATCTCCAAGACCTAACTTGGTGAGCATGGCAAAGAAGCCACCAGTATACCGCATACCTGCCCACCCCCAGGCCCTCTGGGATGCCACGCATACAGACTGAATAGGACAGCAGGCACTTGCTCTATCCAAGTCCACCGCCCAGCAGGGGATAGAGACTCTATTCTGCCTAGGATAATCACTTCCACACTGCCGGGGACCTGATGCTGTGCCAGTGGGGGCTTCTCCACAGAGCTGAGGGCTGAGGACAGGAGGAGCTGGGCAGAGGGCAAGAACGCCTAGGCAGTGGCAGCTGCACATGCCGGGGTACTGGGGCTGTGGTCGGGAGTGAGGTCGGTCGGAGATGGGAAGAGGTGATGACAAGGGTCACGTCTCGTGGGGCCTTAGGCCACTGGCATCATTGATGACTTTAGAGTATCCAACAGGTGTGACGTTCACCTTTAGAGGAAAGGAGCAAGGAGTGACGTCACAGCCTAGGACGTGGGGCTTCTGTCCTCAGCTTAACTCTTAGAACTGAGACCTAGACTGTCCCCTCCCTCTAGAACGTTAGGCCTTCTCTGCCCAAAGGGGGTGGTCACAGCCATGGAGGTGAGCTGGAACCACCAGGAAAAGCCTCAAGCGCTGGGGACAGTCTTCCTTTTCTCCCAGCTTTCTCGGGAGTCTCAGCACAGACTTGGAAGTAGGGGACGTGGAGAGCAGAGCACATGAGAGTGAAAGCCAGTGAGCAGGAGTCACGCTAACACCAACCGCGGCTAACGGTCTTGTCTGGCTACCGTCCTTGTCGCCATCATTACAGTGTTTCGTGAGCATTACTAAAGTGCAAGGCTCTGCCCCAGCCTAGGCTGCAGGCTTCTAGGAAGAGAGCCGGCCGAGAAGGAGCAGCACTGAGCCGCTCTGTGATGCAGACACTACCTGAGGAGCCTAGAGCGCTGCGCCCTTTCCTGCAGCGCATGCTTTCCCTCCCAGGGAGGAGCAGCCCTGGTCTGGGACTCCAGCCCTGTGCTTGGCTCAGCCACTGACTCACTCTGCAAACCTGGGTCTGAGCTGTCCGTCAGTCAGGTCTGGAAAAGGGTGGAGTGCCTGGCCTCACAAGCCTCTGTCTTTTCCCAGCCCGCTCTCCTGTACCTGGTTCCTGCCTGCATTGGCTTTCCTGTCCTGGTGGCACTGGCCAAGGGAGAAGTGGCAGAGATGTTCAGGTAAGGCGGGGTGGAGCAGACATGCAGACGGGCCCTCGCGCACCTGCATGGCCTGCCGGGTCACATGAGCATGTCTCCAAGGGAGTGTTCCCACCACCTGTTCCTTTCCGCCAGTGACTAGCTGCCTGGCCTGTGGTCACCAGTGGGACCTTCCCTAGGAGCCAGGGGAGGTCTAGTCTAGGGCAGCCCATACCACGCGCCTGCTGTGTCTTAAAGGGATGGCTGCCTGCTCTCCCGGGCCTTGGATCACAAGCTAGCTCTGCCAGGTGGCTTGAGGCTCATCTTTTCCCCCAGCGTGTTTGCATGTTCTAGGACAAGGACACCTCCACAGGAAGTCATGTCCATCCCCGTCCAGATGCCTCCGTAGCCATACCCCACAGCTTGTTTTCAGATACACAGTCCCCTTCCTCCCTGGCTGCTGCCATATCTGCCACACCTTGTGCACCGCCCCACCCCTACCCCAGGGCCTGCATGACTCCCAGCAGGTGTCTGCTCCCAGGCACCATCAACCCTGTCTGCCAAAGGCCTAGAAATAGCTGCCAGCTACTGTTAAAGCTGCCCACTCGGGCCCTTCACCCAACTCCACCTGCTTGGCCTTAAGTTGTCCCCCGAGTGCCTGCCACGGCCTTCTGTGCACCTGGATGCCTCAGGGCTGCAGATGACTCACCTCTTCCCCGTGCCTGCCCTGCCTGGAATCCCCAGCTCCCGGCCTGCCCTCGGAAGCCCGCCCACCCCTGTCTTGTGGCATGCAGCTGATCCTCGAGGTCAGCACTTACATCCCTCCCTCTGCACATCCATGCTTGGAGAAACATCTGAACCATCCCCTGTATCCTCAGCAGCTTGAGCTCTGAGCACCCAGCCAGGGCAGAAGGTGCCCCCCACCCCAAGGCCCCATTCCTAAATGTTCTTCTGTGTAAGCCCCACCCTGCCCAGAAGGTCCTTAGGGAAAAGCAGGTAGCCTTTCTCTCCTCTGTCCTCTCCCATTCTCAACCTGGTCTCTTGCGCTTTTTTCTCTCTCACTGCCACTCCCCTTTTGAAAAGTTCGTTCACTGATTGGCTCTTGAATGGGTTGCACATTTGCATGGTTCCAAGTGCCCTTGCTGGGGCTAGAGAGTTGACTCAGCAGATAAGAGGACCTGCTGCTCTCCCAGAGGACTCTAGTTCGGTTCTTAGAACCCACATTGGGCAGCTGACAACCATGTCTCTGGGGGAACCTGAAGCCTCCATGGGGCACCTGTACTCTGCACATGTACTCACCTGCACCCATGTACATACACACACACATGTGCCAACTCCCATAAGTTGTCCTCTGACCTCATAAGCACCACAACACACACAAGTAATGTATTTGTCTCAGTCACTGTTCTGTCGCTGTGAAGAGACACCGTGACCAAGGCAACTCGTGTGGAAGGAAGCATTTGACTGGGGCTTGCTCACCGTTCGGAGGGTTAGCATCGTGGCAGGGAGCGTGGTGGCATGTTTGATGCTAGGGCCGGAGCTGAGAGCTGCATCCTGGTCGGTAGGCTGAGAGTGACGCTGGGCCGGCACGGGCACTCTTCCTCCAGCAAGGCCATACCTCCTAATTCTTTTCAAATAGTGCCACTCCCTGATGACTAAACATTCAAATATATGAGACCAGGGAGAGAGCTTGGTCAGCAAAGTGCCTGCTGCGTAAGAATTAAAACCTGTGTTTGGATACTCAGCACCCAGTTGGATATAAAAAAAAAATTTCCCCATTTTTATTTATTTATTTTTCTATTATCAGCTTGATACAGTATAAATTCTTATCCTAATAGTGAAATGTTTCACTAAAGCTTGCCCAGTGATTGGGTAAAACCAAAACTTATTATAAGCCACAGTCATCCTAGGGTCCCCCCTGCTATGTAGCCTCCCTGGTTCTGGGGGTTGCAGTCTGATTGTTCTTTGCTTTATATCTAGAATCCTCTTATGAGTGAGTACATACCATGTTTGTCCTTCTGGGTTTGGGTTACCTCACTCAGGATGATATTTTCTAGTTCCATCCATTTGCCTGCAAATTTCATGCTGTCATTGTTTTTCTCTGCTGAGTAGTTTTCCATTGTGTATATGTACCACATTTTCTTAATCCATTCTTTGGTTGACGGGTATCTAGGTTATTTCCAGGTTCTGGCTATTATGAATAATGCTGATATGAACATAGTTGAGCATGTATCTTTGTGGTACGATTGAGCATTCCTTGGATATATGCCCAAGAGTGGTATGGCTGGGTCTTGAGGTAAATCGATTCCCAGTTTTCTGAGAAACTGCCATACTGATTTCCACAGTGGTTGTATAAGTTTGCACCCCCACCAACAGTGGAGGAGTGTTCCCCTTGCTTTTTCATATTCGCAGCTGAGCCTGTGTCTTATGGTGCTGCATGCCTTAATCCCTGTACTTAGAAGATTGGGACAGGATATCTCTGATTTCAAAACCAGCCCGCACTATATAGCAAGCTCTGGGCCAGCAGCCTGGGTGGCAAAATAAAACCTTGTTTCAGCCAGGTGCACACCTGTGGTCCCAGCTACTGGGGAGGCTGAGACAGGAGGATTGCTCAAGTCCAGAAGTTCTGAACTGTGGTGTGTCATGTGTATCAGGTGTCCACACTAAGTTCAGCATCAATATGGTGACTAAAAAGCCTGGCATGGTGATACATGCCCTTGATCCTAGCATTCAGAAGACAGAGGCAGGTACATCTCTGTACAGTACAATCTCAGCCCATCCAGGGCAACATTGTAAAATCCTGTCTCTAAATTAATAAATAACATTTTTGAAGTTCAGAAAGTTGTTAAAAAGAGAGCTGGGAAGATGGCTCGGCAGTTAAGAGCACTTCTTGCCCTTAAAGAGAACGTGGTTTTGGTTCCCAGCACCCCCGGGTGCTCACACCCTTCTGTAAACTCCAGTTCCAGGGCTCCAACACATTCCTCTTACATCTGCAGGCGCTTGGTGTGCATGCATAAATGCAGGCCAAACACACGTACAGAAAATGGAAGTGAATTTTTGTTTTTTGTTTTTCGAGACAGGGTTTCTCTGTGTAGTTATGGTGCCTGTCCTGGATCTCGCTCTGTAGACCAGGCTAGCCTCGAACGCACATAGATCCGCCTGGCTCTGGCTCCCAGTGCTGGGATTAAAGGCGTGTGCCACCACCGCCTGGCATGAATTTTTTTTAAATGGGTGAGATGGCTTACAAGGTAACGTTGCTTGCTGCCAAGCTTGAGGACCTGAGTTTGATCCCAGAAGTTGTCCTCTGACCTCCTCACAAGCACCACGGCACACACGAAGGTTGTTTTGTTTTATTTTGTTTTAAACCAACTAGGGAGCTAGCTCGGTTATTAAAGTGCCTGCTGCACCAACATGAAGACCTGTGTTTGGATACCCAGATGGGCAGAGTGGCACACATCTGTAACCCTAGCTTTGGGTGGGACAGACATACAGATCCTTGGAGCTCACTGGACAGCCAATCTTGCCAATAGGTGAGCTGTGGTTCAGTAAGAGACCCTGTCTCAAAACATAAGGTGCAGAGTTATAGAGGAAGACAACATTAATCTCTGGCTCCCACACTCACACACAGACAACACACACACACACACACACACACACACACACACACACACACACACACACACACACAGACACGGCACCGCTGTGAGAAGGGAGGATAGCCTCCTACCTGGCCTGCGGGAGGCCAATTCTTACAGACCTTCAGAGACATCTGTGCACTGACAGGATCTCCAGCATCTTCTCTGCACTTTGGTGCTTTTCCTGTGTGGTGTTTCAGAGGGCTGAGGTTCAATCCGGGTCCTCACTTAGTCTCAGCACATGCTCTCCTGCTGAGCGGCTCCCGGGCACTTCGTGTGTTGCGGAACAGCATATGTTGGAGAACTAGTTCACAGCGTGCCAGCCCAGCACCGTGAGCCCTCCTTCACACTTGTTTGCAGTGGTGCATCTTCCCCCAAAACAGCACAGGCTGCTTTACCACAGTGAAGGGCAAGTGCAAGCCAGGTGACCAAGAGCTGTGTTCTGTGCTCCTCGGGAAGGAGGTCTCTGTCCTTCCTTCCTCTTCCCCTCTCCATCTACTTGTTCTGTCTTCTCTGTCTGTCTCTTACACAGCTACGAGTCCTCGGCCGTAATCCTGCCTCATACGCCGAGGCTCACTCACTTCCCCACAGTCTCGGGCTCCCCTGCCAGCCTGGCCGACTCCATGCAGCAGAAGCTGGCTGGCCCTCGTCGCCGGCGCCCGCAGAATCCCAGCGCCATGTAGTGCCCAGCGGGTGCCCACCTGCCCGCTCCCCCCACTGTCCTGGGCCTAAGGTAGGGCAGAAGCTCTAGCCCTGGTGTCAAGTCATGGAGTGTGCCTGGGGCTGATGGCAGGAGGCCGCTCTTCACAGCCACAAGCACTTGCTGCCCGGCCCCAAGGCAGAACCCTGGGGTGCTCACCCACAGAGGGAAGTCACATGAGATGAGCATGAGTGGCCTGTGAGACTAGCAGACACCATGACTGCCTGCTTGCGTGTTTGCCCCTGAACACACCACTTTCTCCTCTATGGCCTTCATCCATCAAGCAAGCACCTGGTGCCCACCTGAACCAGGCAGGAAATAGGCATTGTGCTTGAATGGGCACAGGTGCTCAGTAAGCAGAGCCCCTGGTAAGACCTAGTGTGTCCATCCTAATGAGCAGCACTCTGCGATTTGCCAGACCAGTCCTCACCCAGGGCTGAGCTCTAACTCCACCATGCGCCCCAGGAGACAGCTGGTCTCCCCGAGTCTCATCCCTAGTGCTATCTGCTGCTCTCCAGCAGAAGGTTCGAGAAGTTTAGTGTTGACCTGCACAAGTCCAGGCCCAGCCTCTCCCATTTGCTGCTGCCCTTACAGCCCTTTGGCAGCACAGGGCACAGAGAAAGCCAAGCAGGGTGTCCACGAGGACACCCAGACGGCTGGGGCCAGAGGCCAGGCTTGAGATGCGGGTCCTTGTGATTCCCTGAGATCGCAAAGAGAGGGGGTGGCGAGGACTCTGCCCTCAGCATCCTCTCAGTGTGTTCCTTTGTTTTCCGGTCAGTTACGAGGAGTCAAACCCGAAAGATCAAGCAACTGGAACTGAATCCAAAGAGGTGACAACAGAGACGTCAGCATCGAAGAAGCTAGAGAAGAAGGAGAAGTGAGGCGGCCGCTGCCTGACCCTTGAGGGCCAAATCGGACAGACGGGACGGCCTGTGGGATCCCGACAGGACACCTGCAGGAGGCGAGGGTGGCTCCAGGACGGGGAGCGGGCCGCTGCTGCCTGTTTCCCTCTCCCCTTTCTCTGGCTTCCTCTGCTGCTCCTCATCCCCTGCAGGCCAAGGAAACCCTCTGCTTCTTCTTTTCCCAGGAGCCAGGTGGGAGCCGAACGTGGTTTTTAGATTTTGTATTGTGGACTGACTCACATTAAAAACTCATCCCATGGCTGTCGGGCACTGTGCTCCTGGGGGGTTCCCGGCTTCACCTAGTGTCTTGTGCTAAGCTCACGAGGTCTCTGCAAGCCCCTTCTTGGGTGCCCACCCCATTGCCAGGCCAGAAGAGGGTGGGTCCTCACGCGTCTTCTTCCCCGGCCTGTGGTTTTTCCTCACCACGCTCTTCCAAACCCTTGGGGACAGTGAAGGTGGTGGGCAAGTGCTTGCTGCGTCCCGCTGGCCTTGGCATGAGGAGATGAGAGACTCACGGGCACCTGACTCACAGGGAACTGTAACTGGACAGGCGGCTCTCCCTGGGCTTGCTGTCCGTCTGGCTGGAGATCAAAGCTCCATCTTTCCCATTCTGCCCATTCCTGGGCTTCCCAACATAAAGCCCAGATCTTCAGAGAGCCTGGGTTAGGAAGGGAGTAGGCTCCAGTGACTATAAGAGGCCATCCGGGGACAGGAGTTAGGGGTCCCAACGCCAGAGTTTTCCCTCACCTCTGACCTTCAGGAGAGTCCAGGGGACACCTGCCCAGGTGGGGAAACTGAGACCGGACAATGGCCATGACCTTCCCTGTCCAGCGTTCAGGTTTAATGCCTAAAAATAACAGATTGGAAGTAGCCAGAGAACAAACATGGCCAGACCCTGGGAGTGAGAATACGGGGGTTGAGTCTTCCCTGGGTTCCGATGTGGACCAATGTGTTAACACATTGTTAGCCTCACCATACAGATGAGGAAATGAGGGCAGCTTGCTCTCAGACATGGATGTGACCTCAAGCGGTTGTCCAGCTCAGTGTACTGAAGCACTGTGCTCTTCTCCAGACCTTCTAAGACCAAGTCACTGTGGCTGGTATGCTGGGCTCCTCTGAGTCAGCCACCCAACTTCTCTGGGTCTAAAATTCTATGGAGAGGAAAGTCTCAAAGGCTCCTCCAGCCAGGGGATCTCTTTAGGGGCTTCTCGGATCTCTGCAGGCTTGTACTGCCTTCAGGGGGAGGCCGTGTGGTCCTGGAACAAAGCCCCTCTGAGGGTGGCAGATGGGGCAGGCAGCCCAGGCACACAGTGTGGTTGGCTTCTACAGCCCACAGCCCACAAAGGCCTCATTGAGTCACAGCCGACCCCCAGCAGAGGCTGAGGTGGCAGTGGCGCCGGGCGCCTGCCACCTAATGACCGTCCTGGCCCGGCCAGATGTTCCACAGACCTTGTAGCACCGATCAGGGCCTGCCTGGCCAACCAGCCACAGAGGCCACTCCAGTTCCAATTAACCAGCTTCAGCTGAGCAAACAGCGGGCAGCGGGGCCCAGCCTGGGCGGTAGGCCCGGCCAGCAGAGCCTCTGAGTCTAGACTCCAGATGTGAACCGCCACCGCCTGAGCCCCATGGAAAAATGGCACCAGGCCGGGCACGCACTGGTCCTGCACACTGGGGTGCGGGGTGGGTGGGTGGGCAGGGCCTCCGGTGGGCCTGGGGCCAGGCTCACCCTGGGGTGGGGGGGTGGGCAGGGCCTCCGTTGGGCCTGGGGCCAGGCTCACCCTGGAGTGGGGGGGTGGATCCTCGGGAAGCTGCTTTCAGACAGATTTCCCCTGATTTGTGATGTTCTCTGTGTGCCTTGGCTTCTCCTGGTTGTAGCAGGAGGAGGCTGTAAGACTATCCCTGCAAGAGACCCCAATACTCCATATGAACCGGGTACGCATGTGGCCAGCATTGTGCTGGTATTCTAGAAGTAGTTGGTTGTACCCCTGTGTAGTGAATGCCTGTCATCCCAGTACTTGCAGAGGCAGCAAGCTGAGAGGAGCCTGGTCTACATCCAGGCCAGCCAGGGCTACATGAGGAGAGACCCTATTGCAAAAAAAAGCGAGAAAAGCATGATTGGTCATGCTGGTGCCCAACTAATCCCAGCACTCAGGCTAAGGTCCCCTTGGCTGCAGAGAGTTCAAGGCCTCTTTATGAGACCCTCTCTCAAAGCCAACGGGAAGATTAATTGTAATCCTATATGGTACCTACCATCCTATTTACAGATAAGGAAACTGAGGCAGTGAGGCCATTAGTAGGTGCCTGGGGGGCGGTTTGAACCGTGGTGTCTGGCTTCTAAGCTCATGCTCAACCACTTCGCTAGATTCCTGGTTCTTTTCCTTAGGGACAGCATAGGGGTGTGGAGAGAGAATGACGACGTCAAAGGCTTCCCAATTCTGGCTTCCACGATGGGGTGGCAGTGTCCTGACATCTGGCCCCTATCCCCAGCTAAGGGGTGAGAGCTTCCTCCCAGGGCCGGTCGGTCCCGTTATGGGAAGTCCCTGCTGTTTCCATGCAGTGTGTCAGACACTCACTAGCTAAGGCACCAAGGACTTAGCAAGGAACTCAAATGGTGGTTCTCCAGAGCTGACATCCTGCAAGATGACATTCCTCCGGGGACACTGATTTAAACAGATGACTGGGTGGACATGTCAAGATGGACGCCGCAGGAGAGGGGCCTCCTGGTCCTGGTGGGCAAAGCAAGGGCCTATGACATCAGCTGCCCTTGCAAAACTAAGTGCCACTGCCACCACACCAAGGGAGGAAAAAAAGCCAGGCTGGCTGGGGTCTCTGCGGCATGTACCTCCTTCCTGCTCCCCCACTTTGGACTCCCCACGTGACTGCCGGCCACGGGAGGAGCAGCATCCTGCGGGGTGCGCCAGGAAGGGCCGCGCGAGCGGGAAGGAAAGCGCCACCTCTCCCGCCCCCGCCAAGGCCACACCTGGGCCCCGCAGGCGGTCGGCCCGGCCAGCGCCTGGCTCCAGCGAGTCTGGGCCGCCTCCCTCCGCACCGCGGGGGCCGCCAGCTGGGCTGCTCGCCCGCGCAGCTTTGCGGCCGGAAGCCATTCGCCTTGGGGGCGTGGTCGGCGTTGGTCCCACCCAAGAGGGCGGGGTCACTGGCCAAGGACAAGCTTCGGAATTTGGTCTGGCTTTACCTTCTCTCCATTGCTTTTCTTTCATCCCAGTCCCAGGGGGCCGAATCTGTGAAAGGTCACGTGCTAGGCGAGCGCTTTATCGCTGAGCTGTATCTCCAGCCCTGTATTTTGGTGTTCTTACCTGGAAAATGAGGGAACAATTGGCCCCCCCAACACCTAGTGCGGACTCATGCAGGCACTGTCTGTTACATGAATGGATGCGAAGGTCTGCATTGTCTTCGGCGAATACTTCCCTCAGATGAGGCATCCTTTGTTTAATCTGAGCTACATTTTCCTCTACTTCAAGGGTGGCTGGGGATTAAACAGTCCTTGGAAGCATAGACATCTAGTATATCCTCAGTAAAAGATATTATGGAGGAATCCCCAAGAGGTGAAAAAGCAATATTAAGTGAAAGCTAGGTGTGGTGGCTGACTCCTGTGACGCTGGAGTTGGGGTCGGGAGGGAAGTGGGGACAGAAGCATCAGAGCTTCACTGCAGAGAGTTTGGGCTACATAAGACTATTCTCTCAAAACGAATGTAAGATAAATTTGGAGGTAAAAGATACATAAAATTCCACTTGGAAGATTTCCTTTTCTTTTTGGAGGGTAGTAGTATTCAAAGTGAGTGGGAGCCGGCCGGTTAGTGGCGCACGCTTTTAATCCCAGCACTCGGGAGGCAGAGGCAGGCGGATTTCTGTGAGTTCGAGGCTAGCCTGGGCTACCGAGTGAGTTCCAGGAAAGGTGCAAAGCTACACAGAGAAACCCTGTCTCGAAAAACCAAAAAAATAATAATAATGATAATAATAAAGTGAGTTGTTGGGTTTTGAGACAGGGTCTTGCTATGTAACCCAGGCTAGCCTAGATGAAATTCTATGTATACCAGGCTAGGATTACTAGAAATTTTCTACATATGCAACCTCTTATTTGTTTTTTTTGTTTTGGTTTGTTTGTTTGTTTTTTGTTTTTTGTTTTTTGAGACAGTGTTTCTCTGTAGCTTTGGAGCCTATTCTGGACTAGCTCTGTAGACCAGGCTGGCTTCGAACTCACAGAGATCCACCTGGCTCTGCCTCCCGAGTGCTGGGATTAAAGGCGTGTGCCACCACTGCCGGCTTTTTTTGTTTGTTTTGTTTTGTTTAGTTTTGTTTTCAAGACAGGATCTCTCTGTGTAGCTTTTTGCGCCTTTCCTGGATCTTGCTCTGTAGACCAGGCTGGCTTCAAACTCAAAGAGATCCACCTGGCTCTGCCTCCCTAGTGCTGGGATTAAAGGTGTGCACCACCAACGCCCAGCAATTTTGTTCTTATTTGCTTTTTTAAAGATTTTGATCCAAGTCTGGAGAGTTGGCTCAGTAGTCAAGAACACTTGTTGCTCTTGCAGAGGACCTGGGTTCAATTCCCAGAACCCACATGGTAGCGCACAGTTGTCTGTAACTCCAGTCCCAGGGCATTTTACACCATCTTTTGACCTCCACAGGCACCATGTACACACATACATACACTCATACACATAAAATAATAAATCTTTAAGATAAGAAATCCATCGTGGGGTACCTGCAAGTTTATGGTGTACCTAGATTCAAGGAAATAATTTATCAAATTTCATATTAAATATTTTGATCCAGAGCCTAGGGCCAGAGCTCAGTTGGTAAAGCATTGATTTAGAAGGAGGAGGCCCCTAGGCTCAATCCCCTGTGCCAAAACCAAATGGTAACAAGAACCTCAGCAGGAAACAGTAGGATGAGACATGAATGAAAATCTGTCGGACTCCAAATTAAATACACAGAAAGTAAGGGGGGGAAGCTCATCTCCCTCCCTGGCTTTTCATCACTTCCTCCAGGAATGAGTCCTAGTCCAGAAGAGGAAAAGGGCCCAGCAGAGAGGGAGAGAAGCCAGAGGCTTTAGGAGTGAGCTGGGGAGCAGTACACCGCCCTTGCACAAAGCCAGACCAAGGAACTTAGAATTGATCCTAAAGACAATGGGGAGCCAAGGGAGGACTCTGAGCTGGGAAGTGTCGTTATCCTTAATGGACATTAAAATAAACAAGCCAGGGGGCCAGAGCAGAGACTATGGGTTGGATAGAAAGGAGAGACAG